CCCCCCCATACTGATGCAAACACCCTGCCAGCTGCAAGGGACTACAAACCACGAGGCCACAGCTGGGGAAGGACAGCAGTGATCCAGGCATTGTGGCCTGAACTTGTTGCAACCTGCACCCAGAGGCATGGGGCAGTCACAAGTCATTCTAAAGTGAAAGCAGCAGGTATTCAGGTTGTTTTAATGAGTTGGTGTCAAACAGGGCAGTACTGGTGCACTACACAGCACTACGGGTGTTAAACTGTGACCCCAGGACTGGGAGGGACAGGTGGAGCAGCATGACCCTGCTATGGAGGAGTGCCAGGGATGTGATCCCTATTCATCCCCTGGGTAGCACCCAGCTCTACCTGCAAAACCAAGAGCCAACAGGCTCAGCCACTCAGCTGGCAGTGGCAGGTATATCCCTCCCTATGCAGACATGCAGGCTAAAAATCCCTGGAGGGGCTTGGTTACTGGGCTTTTAGTTAGGAAAGAGGTGTGGCAGGAGTCTACAGTAAGCTCTGTGGCAAGGAAGGCTCTCCTGCAAGTGGCACTGTGTTTTACATTGGTGCCTGCCCTGGGGCCAGCTGCTTTCACAGCCAGCCCCCCTCCTTTAGGTGATACTGGAGAAGGGGATGGGCAGGGATTGGCCTCTCCATCCCCCAGCTTTGGGCCTGGCAGACCCCTGGAGGAGAAAGCTCTGTGTTGACTAATCCTACTTGTGGGGCAGGGTCAAGGAGGCCAGGCCTTGCACACAGCGGGGAGGGAAGGGTTTAGTTGGAAAGCCCTTGTTAAGCATGGAGTACAGTCGTGGAAGACTTATCCATGGTCATCTCACTAAAAGCACTATGCAGCACATGCAGGCTAGGTAGGTGCAAACACAAGGTCCTTTCTCCTGCCCCCCAGCTCTTGTTCCTCAGTCAAGGCTCCTCCTCAGAGCATCCTTCTACCCCTCTGAGGGAAAGGCCTTGGTTCTGCAGAGCTGAGCCCATCTGACTGGTGGTGAAATGCAGGTGAGGCCTCTTGCGATGGGAGCACATCCCTCCTTCCTTCCCTTAGCGCTTGCATCAGTTTCGGGGCAGGCTGGGTGGAGGGATTGCTGTGGCAGAAGGCTCCACCCCCCAGATCTCACGGGCATACTCCGTGATGGTTCTGTCACTGGAGAACTTGCCCGAACATGCAATGTTCCTGATGACTTTCCTTGTCCATTCACGGGGATCCTGGGAAGAGAAGCAATATCAGTACTCAGTTGCTCACTCAGCTCATGGCTTGCAGCCTTGCAGGGCACTGGCTGGTTTAAAACACTGTGGTGGGGGGCTGCTGAAGCAGCCAAACCTGCCTCAATGCTGCCCCAGGGCTCCCACACACTGCCGTGGCCAAAGACCCCAGCCTTCCCATTCGGCAGTGGGCATGTCTTACCATGAACAACTGGTCCACTTGCCCTTGGCACTTAATGTAGGCCTCATAGTCTGCAAACACCTTGAACCTGAAACCCAAAGCAGAGTCTGGCTGGGGTTTGCCTTTGGGGCAGGACAGACATCTTCCCATGAGCAGGCAGGGCTCCCCCCTGCGCAGGGATGCTTCCCAGGACTCACCTGTCGTGATGCATGAGCATGTTCACAACGTCCTTGAAGCAGCCAGGATCTCGAGGGGAAAAGAAGCCGCTGCTGATCTGGTCGATGGCCTGGCGCAGCTCGGGCAGCCTTGTGTAGTACTCCTGGGCATTGTACCTGTGCCCAGCACAGACAGGCTTCAGGCACTGCTCTTCCTGGGGCCCTCGTGTCTGGGGCAGGGAGGGCAGGCAAGGATGTGGTACAGCTCTTGAGTGCGGGGCCTTGCTCCCAAGGCTGTGCCCATCAGAGCACCCTGCTCGTGGCTCAGACCAGCAGCAGTGTTTGATACACTTTGTGCCATGTCCCACTCACAGCCACTGTGCTCTGGGCAAGCTGAATCCTTGCAGCCCAAGGCAAAGACTGCCTCTAGCCCCCTGCTTTTTCCTGCTCCAGAGCTGCCTGGAGAGGAAGGTGTTCTCCCAGAGAACATGGCTCTCCCTGCCAGAGCCTAGCCCTCCATCCCCATCTGACAAGCCCTGGTGTGCACCAACCCTTTCCGATCCAGGGCCTCCACATCCTCCACCCGCATGCCAAATATGAAGAGGTTTTCTTCGCCTGCCTCCTCAGCCATCTCCACGTTGGCTCCGTCCATGGTACCAATGGTGAGCGCCCCGTTCACCATGAACTTCATGTTGCCAGTACCTGAGGCCTCTGTGCCAGCTGTGGAGATCTGCTGGGAGAGATCTGCTGCTGGGATCACTGCCAGGTGCAAGAGAGGTAAGAGTTAATCCTTGGCACAGTACAGCTCCCCACAGCCAGGACTGGCATTTGCCAGTGGCCATTCTGACCTCGCCCTCAGCCCAAACAGCACAACTCTGAGGCCAGGCTCAGCTTTGCCACAACCCCATGCAGCTGCTGCCACTCCTGCATGAAGCTGGCTTCCTGCCCTGTGTGGAGCCTTAAGGCTCTTCCTAGGGGACAGACAGGTGTCCTGCCACAACTGCCTCTCAGGCTAGCCCGTTCCTGGACTCAGCTGGGCCATGCCCAACTTCTGACATGTGCTTACAGAAGACCAGACATACCCTTCTCAGCCAAGGATACCCGGTAGTTCTCCAGGAAGATGACCTTGAGCTTGTCCCCCACACAGGGGTCGTTGTTGATGACCTCACCAATGGATGTGATGAGTTTGATGATCATCTTGGCCATGTGGTAGCCAGGGGCTGCCTGAAGAAGAGCAGCCCAGAAAGGGAGAAGGCTTTTAAGGAAGGGAGAGCATGAGAGATGCCAGCGTGGGGTCCTCACTGCAGTGAGTCTGAGCTTCACCTCTTCTGTTCACATGGAATCACAGCATGGTTTGGGTTGGAAAGGACCTTTAAAAGACATCTAGTCCAACCCCCCTGCAATAAGCAGGGACATCAACTAGGTTGCTGAGAGCCTCATCCAACCTATCTTTAATGTTTTCAGAGATGGAGCATGTAGCACACCAGGGCAACCTGTTCCAGTGGGTCACCACGCTGACTGAAAAGATTTCCACCTTAGAGCTAATCTAAATTAACCCTTCTTCAATTTAAAAACACTATCCCTTGTCCTATCACAACAAGTCCAACTAAAACATTTGTCCCCATCTTTCTAAAAAGACCCACTTCAAGCACTGAAAGTCTACAATAAAGTCCCCCCAGAGCCTGAACAATACTAATTCTCCCAGCCATGAA